TCACCCTCTCACACCAAGGACCCAACACAGAAGGGGCCAAGGAGTTCAAGACGCTCAGACTTGCCCTTGGGGGAGGACCTCAGACTCAAGCTTCAGATGCACAGGTGTGCTCACATAGTCCCAAAGATGCTGGGAGAGGGCTGGAAGAAGTGGGTCATCCTACAGTGTTCAATACTGAGATGTTTGGTAACCCGGCTTTGGTATTTTTTTTTTGTTTTTTTTTTGCAGTTTTGGCCCGGGGTGGGCTTGAATCCACCACTCCTGGTATATGGGGCCAGCGCCCTACTCCTTGAGCCACAGGCGCCGCCCCTATTTTTTTCATTTTCTTTAATGTACTGGGAAGCTTTTAAAAATGCGAGTGTATCCCAGCTACAAGTCAGCATAACCCAGCCTGTTCACCTGGAGTGCTTGGGGTGGCCCACATGAAGCTCATGCGACACCCCACACTCTGGGCCCCTCTACCTGCCTCCCATCCTCTCTGTCCCTGGGTCCCAGGGAGTTCCCAGCCAGAGACCACAGAGCTTGCTCACCACCAGAACTGGATCCTGAAGACTTGAGGGCTGCTTGGAGCCTGGGGAGGCATGCCTGCGCTCCCGCCTGTGATCCTCTGGGTGGATGGGGGAAGGGCTGGGGGTAGGCAGCTTCCAGTCCAGCTAGGGAGGCAAAGAAGCAGTCAGGCCCTGTGGTCTGCCCATCTCTCCCATCCGAAGGTGCCCTAGCTGTGGGGCTGGGGCTTGCCTCCCCCACAGCTCTTTCTTCCACCAGGTTCTCACCTTGAGAGGGTTAGGGGACGGCTGTGGGGAACATTGAAGGCCCCCCTGGGGCTGCACATCCAGGATGTAGAGCAGGTCAGAGGATTGGGACTGGCTGGGGAGGTGGATGCTGAGTCGGAGGCCACTCACAGTCCCAGGGCCATCATTGTGCAGCTACAGGTGGGGCAGAGAGCTCCACATCCGGCCTACAGCTCTGAGGACCCTCTCACCTTATCCCGGGATCCAAAGGTTACTTCCTACCTCATAGGTGTGTTCCACTTTGGGGCCCCAGCTGTCTGAGATGTTCTGCTTCCTGTCACCTTCTTCTGCTGCCACTACCAGGGAGGCTGGAAAGGAGTTCCTACAGGTGCCCAAGCCCCCAGAGAGAGTATGATCTTTGACTGGCCTGTGGAGGGTCCTCCAGGGCCTGTTGAACTTTAGAATCCTGCCTGCCATCTCCTTTTTCCACCCCTGGCCTCTCACCCGTGCAGCTCCAGTTGTGCCTCTGCCCAGACTGGCACATCCAGCAGCACAGGCTCACTATTTGGATTCTGGCTGTTTTTGCTGGAGGGGAGAGGAGAGGATAAGTAGAAGCATGTCTGTGACGCCAGCCCAGTGACTCTCTGGGGTGGAGCCAGAATTTTAGAGGGCTCAGGGAGAGTTAATTTCATAACCAGCATGCCCCACTGAAGTTAGATCTAGGAAACAACTTCCTTTAGGATGCCAAGACTCAAATACAAGTCTCTGAGGAACAAAGGGAACAGGGAGGTCTGAAGACTAGGCATCTCAGAAGACCATCTGGGTAGAAGAGGTGTGAAGGGCTCTACCTTGAGGTCATATAGGGGCTGGGGGTAGGTAGGAGAGCTCCCAAGTCAGTACCTCCTGATCTGCAGCTGGAAGGACACATGCTCTCCAACTTCTTCCAGGTTTCCCACACTCACCAACATCGTGATTCCTATCTAGGGGACAGGGAGAGCCAAAGTCACTGCCCATGTGCTCTCTCTGGGCAGCCCTGCCCTGAATGTGGCCTCTAATCCTCACCCTCAAAGATCACCAGTATTATCTTTATTTTCTCCTCAGAGGAGAAAAGTCACTCACCCAAGAACATGCAGCTAGGAAGTGTGAAGACAGGAATCTATCCCAGAGCTATTTGATTCTAAAACCCAGCCCCTAAAATCTGGCTGTCCCTGTGCGGACACCCAGCAACCATGACTCAGCGGTCTCACCTGGGCGTTCTTCTTCATGGGGTTGCCTAGCTCACACAGCACCACCTTGGTCTCATTTTCCTTCTTCTGGTTACAGGTGAGCCTCTCAAAACCCTTCATGGAGGAGGTTCCAAGAAAGAAATTGGTTACAGAACATCCTGTATATATTTAAGCTCCCTTGGAAAGTCAGGAAAAGACTTGTGTGCCAGGGTGGGAAGGAGGTGTTTCTTGGGGTGAGATTTCAAGGGACTATCATGATCTATTACATATGTTGTTGTAGCACTTTATTATATTTTATGAATTTTCATTTTGGAAATAAAAGCCACAAAACATTACATAGAGTATGACCCCAACAACATCATCCAAATAACAAATAAATATATACTTATGTGAGTGCCTGTCAATGTTAGGAAAAAGACTTGAAAGAAATCCATCAAATGTTAACAGAGATTCCTATTAATATTTACTTTTCAAGCCATTTAGGGTGGTTTCATAATAGGGTTCTTGAATTTTGTGCCATGAGCAAGTAGTCCTATTTCAGATAAAAAAGAATTTCTTTTCTTTTCTCTCTCTCTGTCTTTTTTTTTTTTTTTTTTTTTTGAGACAGAGTCTCACTCTGTTGCCCTGGGTAGAGTACTATAGTGTTATTATAGCTCACAGCAACCTGACACTCCTGTGCTCTACCGATCCTCCTGCCTCAGCCTCTCAAGTAGCTAGAACTATAGGCCATGACACCTGGCTAATTTTCCTATTTTTAGTAGAGATAGGGTCTCATTTTTGCTTAAGGTAGTCTTAAACTCCTGATACTTAAGCGATCCTCCCACCTTGGCCTCCCAGAGTCCTTGGATTACAGGCTAGGATTACAGTAAAGCATAATAGAAGGGGGAGCTTTCAGGGAGGGAGATGAGAGTCAAGGCTCGGCACCTTCCAGATCCCCAGCAATGCGGTGGGGGCTCACCTCCACATTGCTGAGGGCACGCATGTAGTAGGCCCCTGAGGGCAGGTGTACGGCCAGCTCTGCCTCGTATGCTCCCTCACCCTCGTTGGCTGCGTCCATCTGCAGCTCCAGCACATTATCTGCCCCAACTAGGAGTGGGGAGCCCGTCCTACAGGGGGAAAAGGTGAAGCCAAGGAGGCTGGATCCAGGTCCAGGCCTAAGAGCTGGAAGGAGAGGAGGACACCTAGATGGGGAGTAGATATCACTGGGGCAGAAAGGTTCAGGGTAGAACAGAGTGGGAGGTCTCACACATTGGCAGTGAGCTGGAGCTGTGGCACACACACGTCATCTTCCCCACAGTCCAGGATGATGCGGGTCTAGAGGGGGCACAGCAGAGTGTTCAGGTAAGCTGGGGGTATGTGAAGTTGGTGGAGTCAAATCAGGGTTAGGATAGGCTTGGGATTCACATCGGGGAATAAGAAGATTATCTGAGTTTAGAGATGACATCAAATCTTTGGAGTTTACATGAAGATTGGGGACAATGTCAGAGTTGGTAATATCAGGGCTTGTGGACTTAATCAGAGTTTAGAGGACATTGAGATTTTGCAATTTTCATTAGGGCTTAGAGTGACATCAGATATTAGAGGTGATATCAAGGTTGGGGGGTTCACATTATGACTTGGACACTATCTATAACCCTGACTTTCTGAAAGGGATTCTATACCTCCCTTGCCTGCCCTTGCCTGTCTCTACCTGCTCCTGGACATGGGTGTCTCCATGCAGCACGACAGCAGGGGCTGCTCCAGCCTCCTCCTTGGTGAGCAGGGACACGTTGAGACTGAGCACAATGGGACTTAACTTATCCCGGAAGTCTGCCTCGTCCTAGGGGGGAACAAGAGTCAGGGCATCTTGCTATTGTACACACTCCACTTCTCCTGTCCAGTAGGCGCCACAGTCTACTAACCATCCCTGAACCCACAGCACCCAGCCCAGTGCTCCAGGGCTGGATGAACAAGTCTGGTAGATGAGCTCTGCACACCCAGCCCTGCCAATCTCCAGCTGAGCTTACTCGAAGAAAGGCCTTAGTAGTGCGGCAGATGGGTTTGTGCCTTCCTCCCAGGTCCAGGTTGAAGGTGGTGCTTGCCTGTTGAGAGTCGAGCAGGAGCACCCGCCGGCCCTGGCGGGGCTTCTGCCTATCAAGCTGCAGCTCAGCATTTAGGTCTGTCAGGGCAGGCGGGAGTAAGAATGTCCCCACCAGCCTCCAGAGGAATTTGGGCCCACCTCTTGCCCACCTCCTCCCTGCTACTCACACAGCTTCTGAGGAATGTTGTGCCCAGTGGCTCCTACACACATCTGGATATCAAAGCTGCAAAGACATGCGTGGGGTTCAGAGGCTGGGGCCTTTCTGAGGTCCCAGATCCTGCCTGGCCCAGGCTTTCTACCTCCTCACCAGCTCACTGATGTCTTGGTCTGGGGCAGGAGACAATTTTTCACAGTAGGATTCAGTGAGTCTTGCACCAGCAAATGGACAGTGGCCATCACTACTGGCTGAGCTCTGATAAGATGGATTGGAGGAGGTTTGCCATTGTGGCCCCTCCTGACCCATCCCCCTCAGATGGTATGGGCCCTTCCCAACCCTGCCCCTGGAGCCAGAGCTTACCTGTATACAGTCACCTTGTTGGCCCCGTAAGCTCCTACCAGCAGGTCTATAGATATTGAGGGGGAGGGTCAGAAATGGAAAGTAGACAGGGCATAGGGTCCTCATCTCACCTTCCCAGGGGTTCCCCATTCAGCTTTCCCTACTGGAGGTTTGACATGGGGCCCTGGCATCCCAGTCACACAGACCAGTCAGAGACCATAGTGGGACAAGTTCAAGAACTTCTGGCAAATGCCCAAGGGCCTTTCTTGGGCATTTCTAGCTGGGGGAAGTATGGGAGCACCTGGGTATCCGTTGTCATCGATGTCTACAGCACCTCGAAGGGAAAATCCAAAGCCAGAGCCTTTGGGGAAGGGACTGTCCAGGACCTGAGAGGGGCGTGAACTCAGCCCCTCACTCTGACCCAGGAACACCAGCACCTGGCCCCGACCACTGGGGCCACCATAGGGGGCAGCCACTGCAACATCTGGAAGGAGTAACAGAAAGGGAGTAGTTATTTGTTATTTAATCCCCCCAGGGAACTTTGTATAATTTTCTTGAGCTCCTTCTCTGGATAGATCCCAGGAGACCAGGAAAGGTCCCTACCCTCCAAGAGTTTATAATCAGGTAGGCAGGAGCCCTGTCAAGTAGGCTGTTATGAACACAGTACTAGTTCTCCCTATCTATTAAGGAATCTATATTGAAAAGATTACCCCTCCCTCAATGTCTATAGACTCACTAGTGGATAGGTCTATACAATGTCTATAGGACTGTTATGCTATAAAATTAAACTCAATCCTGAACATTAGGCATTATTATTACAATTTTAAATAAAAAAAAAACTGAGTTCAAGAAGACTAGATAACTAAGGCCTACTCAACACTGGCCCCTAAGGATCTCTTCCTTTTGGGACCTTCATTCCTTTCCACTCCCACCATGCAGACACAGGCATATTGTGAGCTCATCATCATTAATAACTTTTAACATTACCTTAAAAAAATTGTCAGTCATCATAATACTTACTATTTCCTAACTGTTCTTTGCATATGATAGGAATTAAGATCTTTGAGATATATGTTGGAACTGTCTTTGTTTTATGACTTTGCTTTATAGTATGTTTTCCATGCAGTTTTTTAATTTTTTAATTCTTTTATATTATTATTATTATTATTTTGAGACAGAATCTCACTTTGTCACCCTCAGTAGAGTGCTATGGCATCTTATCTCACAGCAACCTCAAACTCTTGGGTTCAAGCGATTATCCTGCCTCTGCCTCCCGAGTAGCTAGGACTACAGGCACCTGCCACAACGCCCGACTATTTTTAGAGATGGAGTCTCACTCTTGCTCAGGCTGATCTTGAACCTGTGAGCTAAGGCAATCCTCCGGCCTTGGCTTCCCAGAGTGCTAGGATTATAGACATGAGCCACTGTGCTCAGCCAAGCCTTTTTTGTTTTACATATCTTTTTTTTTTTTTTTTTTAGAGACAGAGTCTCACTTTGTTGTCCTTATTAGAGTGCCATGAAGTCACAGCTCACAGCAACTTCTGGGCTTAGGTGATTCTCTTGCCTCAGCCTCCCGAGTAGCTGGGACTACAGGTGCCTGCCATGACACCCAGCTATTTTTTTGTTGCAGTTTAGCCAGGGCTGGGTTTGAACCTGCCACCCTGGGTATATGGAGCTGGCACCCGTCGCACTGAGCCACAGCACTGCCCTGTTTTACATATCTTTATGCAGTGGTTCTCAACCTGTGGGTCACAACCCCTTTGTAACAATGAAAATACATCCTGCATATCAGATATTTACCTTACGATTCATAACAGTAGCAAAATTATAGTTATGAAGTAACAATGAAAATAAATTTATGGTTGGGGGTCATCACAACATGAGGAATTGTATTAAAGGGTCGAGGCATTAGGAAGGTTGAGAACCAACTTGGTCTCTATAAAGCAGGCCTGCAGTCCTAGAACTCTGGGAGGCCAAGGCAGGTGGATTGCCTGAGCTTGGGAGTTTGAGACCAGCCTGAGCAAGAGTGAGACTCCATCTCTAAAAAATAGCCAGGTGTTGTGGAGGGCACCTGTAGTCCCAGCTACTCAGGAGGCTGAGGCAAGAGGTTCTCTTGAGCCCCAAGAGTTTGAGGTTGCTGTGAGCTATGATGCCATGGCATTCTA